ACGCGTCACCGGGTGACGCCCCCGAGCTGTACCGCTACCTGGTGGACCGCATGGCCAGCGTACTGGACAGCAGGGCGGACACGTCACCAGAGGTGGGGGGTGGCCGGGTGACACGTGCTTGTGTGTGTGTGTGTGTGTGTGTGTGCACGCGCGCGTATGTGTGTGTGCGTGCGTGCGTGCATGTGTGTGTGTAGGTAGGTGGGAAAGGGGGTTGAGTGAGCGTGCGTGCCAAAGATCGAGGCAACATCGGATATGATTGTCTTGCGCACATACACACGCACACATACTTATGCACGTACGTGTGCGCTCATAACAACCACAGCTTCGCCGCTCCCAAGACATCCGCATCCCAAAAGCAACGTGCGCGCACGCAGCCCACCACCCTGCGAAGGAACAAATGGATTCCGCCACGCCACGCCGTTCCCCACACTGCCAGCCACCCCTGATCGCCAATGTGACTCCCCCCCCCCCAAAAAAACAGGTCGCGGCGGCGGGCATGGTGGTCAACACCCTGGGCTGGGTGGACGGCCTGGGCTACGACCTGCTGCTGCACGTCATAGCGTCACTGCGGGTGCGCAGCGGGTGACGCCACCGGTTACGCCACGGGTGACTCAGCTGGCAGACGCTGCGCGGGCGAAGCTTCAAACAGCAGGGCGCAGGAGACAGGTTTTATCAGGCACCCCAACTCGGGAAGCCGCGCCGCCCCTTGTGCAATGCAAGTGCATACATGTGTCTACATGTATGTTCACACCCCGAGCAAATACTTGCGGCAAGGACGTCACGCGCGCCGCCGCCCGGGCGTGGCATTTTTGTGTCCGCGCCCCCCTCGTCGCCCCCAGGCCGACGTGGTGGTGGTGCTGGAGCAGGACCGGCTCTACAACCAGCTGCAGTCGGCACTGGCGGGACGCACGGGGGCCATGGGGCGGCCGCTGCAGGCGCGTGTGCCTGTGACGCAGGGGGGTGGGGCTGTTTTACAAGGGCTTGGAAGGGGGCCGAGGGTGCCGCGTTTCGATTGCGTCTACGGCGGAGAATCGTGGGCAAAAGGCGGGAGGGCGCCGGCGGGCGGCTTAGCAGCACGGGGCGACCCGTGGGGCCTGCTGCCTTCCCCCTCCCCTGCAGCGCACCGATCGGCTGCGGCCTCGCAGCGCTGGCTGAGATGGTGAGGCGCGCCACAACCGCAGTAAAAGTGCCCTGTGAAACGCACAACCCTGAACCCCCAACCCCCTGATCCCAACGCACGTGGGGCCGCACCAGGTGGTGAAGCTGCCAAAGTCGGGCGGCATCGTGGCGCGCAGCACGCAGGTAGGGAGCCGTGCCGGACGCCCCCGCTCTCACAAGCGGCGCCATGCGGCTGCTGCCCCGGCAGGCGCCCGCCTGCCTCTGTCTCGCCCGGGGTGTGCCCGCAAGGCCCCAGGGGGGTGCCCCGGCCGCTCGCCCTCCCTCCTACCCTTTCGCCCCTGCTGCGCCCGCTATGATGCGTCGCCATTCCCCAGTCTTCCCGAATGCCCCCCACAAACGCATGCACATACACATACAAGCGCGCACATGCACACACACAACAATACACACGCAGCCACACACACGCAATCACACACGCGCAAACAAACATGCAACAACACACGCAAACACACACACGCAATCACACACACATCTACACACATCTACAAAACACCCCCCCCCCCTCGCCCAAAAGGCCCGCAAGGACGCCCGCCTGGGGCGCATCCGCGAGTACTTTTACGGCGCTGGGGGGGAGCTGCAGCCCCACGCGCAGAGCGTAGCTGCGGAGCAGCTGCAGGTCTTCAGGATAGGTGGGACGGCGGGATGCTTGGGCGGCTGTTGGTGGCGGTTGGTGGCGGTTGGTGGCGGTTGATGGGCAGGCGCTGTTGGTTGGTTGTTGTTGGCGGTGGCTGTTGGCCATGGGGAGGGGGGGTGTTGGTGTTGGGTTTTCAGTGTGGGGTTGTGCTTCGCCCTCCGAGAGGGGAGGAGGGCCCCAGGCGTGACTATCCCATTGGGCACCCGTGCATCTTGAGCGCTCACACGTTACATGTTACATCTCCTAGGTCTCCCTGCACCCCACGCACACTACAGGGGACGCCCTTGCGCAACGCGCACACTCCAGCACCTCCCCA